GCGCCCCTAGAGATAGGCGCCCCTAGAGATAGGCGCCCCTAGAGATAGGCGCCCCTAGAGATAGGCGCCCATAGAGATAGGCGCCACTAGAGATAGGCGCCCCTAGAGATAGGCGCCCATAGTGAGAGGCGCCCATAGAGATAGGTGCCCATAGAGAAAGGCGCCCAAATAGATAGGCGCCCATAGAGATAGGCGCCCATAGAGATAGGCGCCCATAGAGATAGGCGCCCATAGAGATAGGTGCCCCTAGAGATTGGCGCCCATAGAGATATGCGCCCATAGACATAGGCGCCCAAATAGATAGGCGCCCAAAGAGATAGGCGCCCATAGAGATAGGCGCCCATAGAGATAGGCGCCCATAGAGATAGGTGCCCCTAGAGATTGGCGCCCATAGAGATATGCGCCCCTAGAGATAGGCGCTCATAGAGATAGGCGCCCCTAGAGATAGGCGCCCCTAGAGATAGGCGCCCATAGAGATAGGCGCCCCTAGAGATAGGCGCCACTAGAGATAGGCGCCCCTGGAGATAGGCGCCCATAGAGATAGGCACCCCTAGAGATAGGCACCGATAGAAATAGGCGCCCATACAGATAGGCACCCATAGAGATAGGCGCCCATAGAGATAGCCGCCCCTAGAGATAGGCGCCCATAGAGATAGGCGCCCATAGAGATAGGTGCCCTTAGAGATTGGCGCCCATAGAGATATGCGCCCCTAGAGATAGGCGCTCCTAGAGATAGGCGCCCCTAGAGATAGGCGCACCTAGAGATAGGCGCCCATAGAGATAGGCGCCCCTAGAGATAGGCGCCACTAGAGATAGGCACCCCTAGAGATAGGCGCCCATAGAGATAGGCACCCCTAGAGATAGGCGCCCATAGAGATAGGCGCCCCTAGAGATAGGCGCCTATAGAGATAGGCACCCCTAGAGACAGGCGCCCATAGTGATAGGTGCCCATAGATATAGGCGCCCATAGAGATAGGCGCCACTAGAGATAGGCACCCCTAGAGATAGGCGCCACTAGAGATAGGCACCCCTAGAGATAGGCGCCCATAGAGATAGGCACCCATAGAGATAGGCGCCCATAGAGATAGGCGCCCCTAGAGATAGGCGCCCATAGAGATAGGCACCCATAGAGATAGGCGCCCATAGAGATAGGCGCCCCTAGAGATAGGCGCCCATAGAGATAGGCACCCCTAGAGACAGGCGCCCATAGTGATAGGTGCCCATAGAGATAGGCGCCCATAGAGATATGCGCCCATAGAGATAGGCACCCATAGAGATAGGCGCCCATAGAGATAGGCGCCCATAGAGATAGGCGCCCATAGAGATAGGCGCCCCTAGAGATAGGCGCCCAGAGAGATACGCGCCCATAGAGATAGGCGCCTATAGAGATAGGTGCCCCTAGAGATTGGCGCCCATAGAGATATGCGCCCCTAGAGATAGGCGCTCCTAGAGATAGGCGCCCCTAGAGATAGGCGCCCCTAGAGATAGGCGCCCATAGAGATAGGCGCCCCTAGAGATAGGCGTCCATAGAGATAGGAACCCCTAGAGATAGGCGCCCATAGAGATAGGCGCCCATAGGGATAGGCGCCCATAGAGATAGGCGCCCATAGAGATAGGCGCCCATAGAGATAGGCGCCCATAGAGATAGGCGCCCATAGAGATAGGCGCCCATAGAGATAGGCGCCCATAGAGATAGGCGCCCCTAGAGATAGGCGCCCATAGAGATATGCGCCCCTAGAGATAGGCGCCCCTAGAGATAGGCGCCCCTAGAGATAGGCGCCCATAGAGATAGGCGCCACTAGAGATAGGCGCCCCTAGAGATAGGCGCCCATAGAGATAGGCGCCCATAGAGATAGGCGCCCCTAGAGATAGGCGCCCCTAGAGATAGGCGCTCCTAGAGATAGGCGCCCCTAGAGATAGGCGCCCATAGAGATAGGCGGCCATAGAGATAGGCGCCCCTAGAGATAGGCGCCCCTAGAGATAGGCGCCCATAGAGATAGGCGCCCATAGAGAGGGGCGCCCATAGAGATAGGCGCCCATAGAGATAGGCGCCCCTAGAGATAGGCGCCTCTAGAGATAGGCGCCCATAGAGATAGGCGCCCCTAGAGATAGGCGCCCCTAGAGATAGGCGCCCCTAGAGATAGGCGCCCCTAGAGATAGGGGCGCCTAGGGGCGCCTATCTAGATAGGCGCCCCTAGAGATAGGCGCCCCTAGAGATAGGCGGCCATAGAGATAGGCGCCCCTAGAGATAGGCGCCCATAGAGATAGGCGGCCATAGAGATAGGCGCCCATAGAGATAGGCGCCCATAGAGATAGGCGCCCATAGAGATAGGCGCCCATAGAGATAGGCGCCCATAGAGATAGGCGCCCATAGAGATAGGCGCCCATAGAGATAGGCGCCCATAGAGATAGGCGCCCATAGAGATAGGCGCCCATAGAGATAGGCGCCCATAGAGATAGGCGCCCATAGAGATAGGCGCCCCTAGAGATAGGCGCCCCTAGAGAAAGGCGCTCCTAGAGATAGGCGCCCCTTGAGATAGGCGCCCGTAGAGATAGGCGCCCATAGAGATAGGCGCCCCTAGAGATAGGCGCCCCTAGAGATAGGCGCCCCTAGAGATAGGCGCCCATAGAGATAGGCGCCCATAGAGATAGGCGCCCATAGAGATAGGCGCCCATAGAGATAGGCGCCCATAGAGATAGGCGCCCATAGAGATAGGCGCCCATAGAGATAGGCGCCCATAGAGATAGGCGCCCATAGAGATAGGCGCCCCTAGAGATAGGCGCCCCTAGAGATAGGCGCCCATAGAGATAGGCGCCCATAGAGATAGGCGCCCCTAGAGAAAGGCGCTCCTAGAGATAGGCGCCCCAAGAGATAGGCGCCCGTAGAGATAGGCGCCCGTAGAGATAGGCGCCCATAGAGATAGGCGCCCCTAGAGATAGGCGCCCATAGAGATAGGCGCCCCTAGAGATAGGCGCCCATAGAGATAGGCGCCCCTAGAGATAGGCGCCCATAGAGATAGGCGCCCCTAGAGATAGGCGCCCATAGAGATAGGCGCCCATAGAGATAGGCGCCCATAGAGATAGGGGCCCATAGCGATAGGCGCCCATAGAGATAGGCGCCCATAGAGATAGGCGCCCATAGAGATAGGCGCGCATAGAGATAGGCGCGCATAGAGATAGGCGCCCATAGAGATAGGCGCCCCTAGAGATAGGCGCCCCTAGAGATAGGCGCCCATAGAGATAGGCGCCCCTAGAGAAAGGCGCTCCTAGAGATAGGCGCCCCTAGAGATAGGCGCCCGTAGAGATAGGCGCCCCTAGAGATAGGCGCCCATAGAGATAGGCGCCCATAGAGATAGGCGCCCATAGAGATAGGCGCCCATAGAGATAGGCGCCCATAGAGATAGGCGCCCAAAGAGATAGGCGCCCATAGAGATAGGCGCCCATAGAGATAGGCGCCCATAGAGATAGGCGCCCATAGAGATAGGCGCCCATAGAGATAGGCGCCCCTAGAGAAAGGCGCTCCTAGAGATAGGCGCCCCTAGAGATAGGCGCCCGTAGAGATAGGCGCCCGTAGAGATAGGCGCCCATAGAGATAGGCGCCCATAGAGATAGGCGCCCCTAGAGATAGGCGCCCATAGAGATAGGCGCCCATACAGATAGGCGCCCCTAGAGATAGGCGCCCCTAGAGATAGGCGCCCATAGAGATAGGCGCCCCTAGAGATAGGCGCCCATAGAGATAGGCGCCCATAGAGATAGGCGCCCATAGAGATAGGCGCCCATAGCGATAGGCGCCCATAGAGATAGGCGCCCATAGAGATAGGCGCCCATAGAGATAGGCGCCCATAGAGATAGGCGCCCATAGAGATAGGCGCCTATCTCTAGGGGCGCCCATAGAGATAGGCGCCTATCTCTAGGAGCGCCTATCTCTACGGGCGCCTATCTCTAGGGACGCCTATCTCTAGGAGCGCCTTTCTCTAGGGGCGCCTATCTCTATGGGCGCCTATCTCTATGGGCGCCTATCTCTAGGGGCGCCTATCTCTATGGTCGCCTATCTCTATGGGCGCCTATCTCTATGGGCGCCTATCTCTATGGGCGCCTATCTCTATGGGCGCCTATCTCTATGGGCGCCTATCGCTATGGGCGCCTATCTCTATGGGCGCCTATCTCTTTGGGCGCCTATCTCTATGGGCGCCTATCTCTAGGGGCGCCTATCTCTAGGGGCGCCTATCTCTATGGGCGCCTATCTCTAGGGGCGCCTATCTCTAGGGGCGCCTATCTCTAGGGGCGCCTATCTCTATGGGCGCCTATCTCTAGGCGCGCCTATCTCTATGGGCGCCTATCTCTAGGGGCGCCTATCTTTAGGGGCGCCTATCTCTATGGGCGCCTATCTCTAGGGGCGCCTATCTCTAGGGGCGCCTATCTCTATGGGCGCCTATCTCTATGGGCGCCTATCTCTATGGCCGCCTATCTCTAGGGGCGCCTATCTCTAGGTGAGCCTATCTCTAGGGGCGCCTATCTCTAGGGGCGCCTATCTCTAGGGGCGCCTATCTAGATGGGCGCCTATCTCTAGGGGCGCCTATCTCTAAAGGCGCCTATCTCTAGGGGCGCCTATCTCTATGGGCGCCTATCTCTATGGGCGCCTATGTCTATGGGCGCCTATCTCTATGGGCGCCTATCTCTAGGGGCACCTATCTCTAGGGGCGCCTATCTCTATGGCCGCCTATCTCTATGGGCGCCTATCTCTAGGGGCGCCTATCTCTAGGGGCACCTATCTCTAGGGGCGCCTATCTCTATGGCCGCCTATCTATATGGGCGCCTATCTCTAGGGGCGCCTATCACTATGGCCGCCTATCTCTATGGCCGCCTATCTCTAGGGGCGCCTATCTCTATGGGCGCCTATCTCTAGGGGCGCCTATCTCTAGGAGCGCCTATCTCTAGGGGCGCCTATCTCTATGGGCGCCTATCTCTAGGGGCGCCTATCTCTATAAGCGCCTATCTCTATGGGCGCCTATCTCTATGGGCGCCTATCTCTATGGGCGCCTATCGCTAGGAGCGCCTATCTCTATCTCTATGGGCGCCTATCTCTATGGGCGCGTATCTCTATGGGCGCCTATCTCTATGGGCGCCTATCTCTATGGGTGCCTATCTCTATGGGCGCCTATCTCTATGGGCGCCTATCTATTTGGGCGCCTATCTCTAGGGGCGCCTATCTCTATGGGTGCCTATCTCTAGGGGCGCCTATCTCTAGGGGCGCCTATCTCTATGGCCGCCTATCTCTATGGCCGCCTATCTCTATGGGCGCCTATCTCTAGGGGCGCCTATCTCTAAGAGCGCCTTTCTCTATGGGCGCCTATCTCTAGGGGCGCCTATCTCTAGGGGCGCCTATCTCTAGGGGCACCTATCTCTAGGGGCGCCTATCTCTATGGGCGCCTATCTCTAGGAGCGCCTATCTCTAGGGGCGCCTATCTCTAGGGGCGCCTATCTCTATGGGCGCCTATCTCTATGGGCGCCTATCTCTATGGGCGCCTATCTCTATGGGCGCCTATCTCTATGGGCGCCTATCTCTAGGGGCGCCTATCTCTATGGGCGCCTATCTCTAGGGGCGCCTATATCTATGGGCGCCTATCTCTATGGGCGCCTATCTCTATGGGCGCCTATCTCTATGGGCGCCTATCTCTATGGGCGCCTATCTCTATGGGCGCCTATCTCTAGGAGCGCCTTTCTCTAGGGGCGCCTATCTCTATGGGCGCCTATCTCTAGGGGCGCCTATCTCTATGGCCGCCTATCTCTATGGGCGCCTATCTCTAGGGGCGCCTATCTCTAGGGGCGCCTATCTCTATGGGCGCCTATCTCTATGGGCGCCTATCTATGGGCGCCTATCTCTATGGGCGCCTATCTCTATGGGCGCCTATCTCTATGGGCGCCTATCTCTAGGGGCGCCTATCTCTAGGGGCGCCTATCTCTATGGGCGCCTATCTCTATGGGCGCCTATCTCTATGGGCGCCTATCTCTATGGGCGCCTATCTCTAGGGGCGCCTATCTCAAGGGGCGCCTATATCTAGGAGAGCCTTTCTCTAGGGGCGCCTATCTCTATGGGCGCCTATCTCTATGGGCGCATATCTCTATGGGCGCCTATCTCAAGGGGCGCCTATCTCTAGGGGCGCCTATCTCTAGGGGCGCCTATCTCTAGGGGCGCCTATCTCTAGGGGCGCCTATCTCTAGGGGCGCCTATCTCTAGGGGCGCCTATCTCTAGGGGCGCCTATCTCTAGAGGCGCCTATCTCTATGGCCGCCTATCTCTATGGGCGCCTATCTCTAGGGGCGCCTATCTCTAGGGGCGCCTATCTCTAGGGGCGCCTATCTCTAGGGGCGCCTATCTCTAGGGGCGCCTATCTCTAGGGCGCCTATCTCTATGGGCGCCTATCTCTATGGGCGCCTATCTCTATGGGCGCCTATCTCTATGGGCGCCTATCTCTAGGGGCGCCTATCTCTAGGGGCGCCTATATCTATGGGCGCCTATCTCTGTGGGCGCCTATCTCTATGGGCGCCTATCTCTATGGGCGCCTATCTCTAGGGGCGCCTATCTCTACGGGCGCCTATCTCTAGGGGCGCCTATCTCTAGGGGCGCCTATCTCTATGGGCGCCTATCTCTATGGGCGCCTATCTCTAGGGGCGCCTATCTCTACGGGCGTCTATCTCTAGGGGCGCCTATCTCTACGGGCGCCTATCTCTATGGGCGCCTATCTCTATGGGCGCCTATCTCTATGGGCGCCTATCTCTAGGGGCGCCTATCTCTATGGGCGCCTATCTCTAGGGGCGCCTATATCTATGGGCGCCTATCTCTATGGGCGCCTATCTCTATGGGCGCCTATCTCTATGGGCGCCTATCTCTATGGGCGCCTATCTCTATGGGCGCCTATCTCTAGGAGCGCCTTTCTCTAGGGGCGCCTATCTCTATGGGCGCCTATCTCTAGGGGCGCCTATCTCTATGGCCGCCTATCTCTATGGGCGCCTATCTCTAGGGGCGCCTCTCTCTATGGGCGCCTATCTCTATGGGCGCCTATCTCTATGGGCGCCTATCTCTATGGGCGCCTATCTCTATGGGCGCCTATCTCTAGGGGCGCCTATCTCTATGGGCGCCTATCTCTATGGGCGCCTATCTCTAGGGGCGCCTATCTCTAGGGGCGCCTATCTCTATGGCCGCCTATCTCTATGGCCGCCTATCTCTAGGGGCGCCTATCTCTAGGGGCGCCTATCTCTAGGGGCGCCTATCTCTATGGGCGCCTATGTCTATGGGCGCCTATGTCTATGGGCGCCTATCTCTATAGGCGCCTATCTCTAGGGGCGCCTATCTCTAGGGGCGCCTATCTCTATGGCCGCCTATCTCTAGGGGCGCCTATCTCTAGGGGCGCCTATCTCTATGGCCGCCTATCTCGATGGGCGCCTATCTCTATGGCCGCCTATCTCTAGGGGCGCCTATCTCTATGGGCGCCTATCTCTAGGGGCGCCTATCTCTAGGAGCGCCTATCTCTAGGGGCGCCTATCTCTAGGGGCGCCTATCTCTAGGGGCGCCTATCTCTAGGGGCGCCTATCTCTAGGGGCGCCTATCTCTATGGCCGCCTATCTCTATGGCCGCCTATCTCTATGGGCGCCTATCTCTAGGGGCGCCTATCTCTAAGAGCGCCTTTCTCTATGGGCGCCTATCTCTAGGGGCGCCTATCTCTAGGGGCGCCTATCTCTAGGGGCGCCTATCTCTAGGGGCACCTATCTCTAGGGGCGCCTATCTCTATGGGCGCCTATCTCTAGGAGCGCCTATCTCTAGGGGCGCCTATCTCTAGGGGCGCCTATCTCTATGGGCGCCTATCTCTATGGGCGCCTATCTCTATGGGCGCCTATCTCTATGGGCGCCTATCTCTAGGGGCGCCTATCTCTATGGGCGCTTATCTCTAGGGGCGCCTATATCTATGGGCGCCTATCTCTATGGGCGCCTATCTCTATGGGCGCCTATCTCTATGGGCGCCTATCTCTATGGGCGCCTATCTCTATGGGCGCCTATCTCTAGGAGCGCCTTTCTCTAGGGGCGCCTATCTCTATGGGCGCCTATCTCTAGGGGCGCCTATCTCTATGGCCGCCTATCTCTATGGGCGCCTATCTCTAGGGGCGCCTATCTCTAGGGGCGCCTATCTCTATGGGCGCCTATCTCTATGGGCGCCTATCTCTATGGGCGCCTATCTCTATGGGCGCCTATCTCTATGGGCGCCTATCTCTAGGGGCGCCTATCTCTAGGGGCGCCTATCTCTATGGGCGCCTATCTCTATGGGCGCCTATCTCTATGGGCGCCTATCTCTATGGGCGCCTATCTCTAGGGGCGCCTATCTCAAGGGGCGCCTATATCTAGGAGAGCCTTTCTCTAGGGGCGCCTATCTCTATGGGCGCCTATCTCTATGGGCGCATATCTCTATGGGCGCCTATCTCAAGGGGCGCCTATCTCTAGGGGCGCCTATCTCTAGGGGCGCCTATCTCTAGGGGCGCCTATCTCTAGGGGCGCCTATCTCTAGGGGCGCCTATCTCTAGGGGCGCCTATCTCTAGGGGCGCCTATCTCTAGAGGCGCCTATCTCTATGGCCGCCTATCTCTATGGGCGCCTATCTCTAGGGGCGCCTATCTCTAGGGGCGCCTATCTCTAGGGGCGCCTATCTCTAGGGGCGCCTATCTCTAGGGGCGCCTATCTCTAGGGGCGCCTATCTCTATGGGCGCCTATCTCTATGGGCGCCTATCTCTATGGGCGCCTATCTCTAGGGGCGCCTATCTCTAGGGGCGCCTATATCTATGGGCGCCTATCTCTGTGGGCGCCTATCTCTATGGGCGCCTATCTCTATGGGCGCCTATCTCTAGGGGCGCCTATCTCTACGGGCGCCTATCTCTAGGGGCGCCTATCTCTAGGGGCGCCTATCTCTATGGGCGCCTATCTCTATGGGCGCCTATCTCTAGGGGCGCCTATCTCTACGGGCGTCTATCTCTAGGGGCGCCTATCTCTACGGGCGCCTATCTCTATGGGCGCCTATCTCTATGGGCGCCTATCTCTATGGGCGCCTATCTCTAGGGGCGCCTATCTCTATGGGCGCCTATCTCTAGGGGCGCCTATATCTATGGGCGCCTATCTCTATGGGCGCCTATCTCTATGGGCGCCTATCTCTATGGGCGCCTATCTCTATGGGCGCCTATCTCTATGGGCGCCTATCTCTAGGAGCGCCTTTCTCTAGGGGCGCCTATCTCTATGGGCGCCTATCTCTAGGGGCGCCTATCTCTATGGCCGCCTATCTCTATGGGCGCCTATCTCTAGGGGCGCCTCTCTCTAGGGGCGCCTATCTCTATGGGCGCCTATCTCTATGGGCGCCTATCTCTATGGGCGCCTATCTCTATGGGCGCCTATCTCTAGGGGCGCCTATCTCTATGGGCGCCTATCTCTATGGGCGCCTATCTCTAGGGGCGCCTATCTCTAGGGGCGCCTATCTCTATGGGCGCCTATCTCTATGGGCGCATATCTCAAGGGGCGCCTATCTCTAGGGGCGCCTATCTCTATGGGCGCCTATCTCTAGGGGCGCCTATCTCTATGGGCGCCTATCTCTAGAGGCGCCTATCTCTATGGGCGCCTATCTCTATGGGCGCCTATATCTATGGGCGCCTATCTCTAGGGGCGCCTATCTCTAGGGGCGCCTATCTCTAGGGGCGCCTATCTCTAGGAGCGCCTTTCTCTATGGCGCCTATCTATATGGCCGCCTATCTCTATGGGCGCCTATCTCTATGGGCGCCTATCTCTATGGGCGCCTATCTCTAGGGGCGCCTATCTCTAGGGGCGCCTATCTCTATGGGCGCCTATCTCTATGGGCGCCTATCTCTATGGCCGCCTATCTCTAGGGGCGCCTATCTCTAGGTGAGCCTATCTCTAGGGGCGCCTATCTCTAGGGGCGCCTATCTCTAGGGGCGCCTATCTCTATGGGCGCCTATCTCTAGGGGCGCCTATCTCTAGGGGCGCCTATCTCTAGGGGCGCCTATCTCTATGGGCGCCTATCTCTACGGGCGCCTATGTCTATGGGCGCCTATCTCTAGGGGCGCCTATCTCTAGGGGCGCCTATCTCTATGGCCGCCTATCTCTATGGGCGCCTATCTCTAGGGGCGCCTATCTCTATGGCCGCCTATCTCGATGGGCGCCTATCTCTATGGCCGCCTATCTCTAGGGGCGCCTATCTCTATGGGCGCCTATCTCTAGGGGCGCCTATCTCTAGGAGCGCCTATCTCTAGGGGCGCCTATCTCTAGGGGCGCCTATCTCTAGGGGCGCCTATCTCTAGGGGCGCCTATCTCTAGGGGCGCCTATCTCTATGGCCGCCTATCTCTATGGCCGCCTATCTCTATGGGCGCCTATCTCTAGGGGCGCCTATCTCTAAGAGCGCCTTTCTCTATGGGCGCCTAACTCTAGGGGCGCCTATCTCTAGGGGCGCCTATCTCTAGGGGCGCCTATCTCTAGGGGCACCTATCTCTAGGGGCGCCTATCTCTATGGGCGCCTATCTCTATGGGCGCCTATCTCTAGGGGCGCCTATCTCTAGGGGCGCCTATCTCTATGGGCGCCTATCTCTATGGGCGCCTATCTCTATGGGCGCCTATCTCTATGGGCGCCTATCTCTAGGGGCGCCTATCTCAAGGGGCGCCTATCTCTAGGAGAGCCTTTCTCTAGGGGCGCCTATCTCTATGGGCGCCTATCTCTAGGGGCGCCTCTCTCTAGGGGCGCCTATCTCTATGGGCGCCTATCTCTATGGGCGCCTATCTCTATGGGCGCCTATCTCTAGGGGCGCCTATCTCTATGGGCGCCTATCTCTAGAGGCGCCTATCTCTATGGGCGCCTATCTCTATGGGCGCCTATATCTATGGGCGCCTATCTCTAGGGGCGCCTATCTCTAGGGGCGCCTATCTCTAGGGGCGCCTATCTCTAGGAGCGCCTTTCTCTATGGCGCCTATCTCTATGGCCGCCTATCTCTATGGGCGCCTATCTCTATGGGCGCCTATCTCTATGGGCGCCTATCTCTATGGGCGCCTATCTCTAGGGGCGCCTATCTCTATGGGCGCCTATCTCTATGGGCGCCTATCTCTAGGGGCGCCTATCTCTTTGGGCGCCTATCTCTAGAGGCGCCTATCTCTATGGGCGCCTATCTCTATGGCCGCCTATCTCTAGGGGCGCCTATCTCTAGGGGCGCCTATCTCTATGGGCGCCTATCTCTATGGGCGCCTATCTCTAGGGGCGCCTATCTCTAGGGGCGCCTATCTCTAGGGGCGCCTATCTCTATGGGCGCCTATCTCTAGGGGCGCCTATCTCTATGGGCGCCTATCTCTAGGGGCGCCTATCTCTAGGGGCGCCTATCTCTATGGCCGCCTATCTCTATGGGCGCCTATCTCTATGGGCGCCTATCTCTAGGGGTGCCTATCTCTAGGGGCGCCTATCTCTACAGGCGCCTATCTCTAGGGGCGCCTATCTCTATGGGCGCCTATCTCTATGGGCGCCTATCTCTAGGGGCGCCTATCTCTAGGGGCGCCTATCTCTAGGGGCGCCTATCTCTAGGGGCGCCTATCTCTAGGGGCGCCTATCTCTAGGGGCGCCTATCTCTATGGGCGCCTATCTCTATGGGCGCCTATCTCTATGGGCGCCTATCTCTAGGGGCGCCTATCTCTAGGGGCGCCTATATCTATGGGCGCCTATCTCTGTGGGCGCCTATCTCTATGGGCGCCTATCTCTATGGGCGCCTATCTCTAGGGGCGCCTATCTCTACGGGCGCCTATCTCTAGGGGCGCCTATCTCTAGGGGCGCCTATCTCTATGGGCGCCTATCTCTATGGGCGCCTATCTCTAGGGGCGCCTATCTCTACGGGCGTCTATCTCTAGGGGCGCCTATCTCTACGGGCGCCTATCTCTATGGGCGCCTATCTCTATGGGCGCCTATCTCTATGGGCGCCTATCTCTAGGGGCGCCTATCTCTAGGGGCGCCTATCTCTAGGGGCGCCTATCTCTAGGGGCGCCTATCTCTAGGGGCGCCTATCTCTATGGGCGCCTATCTCTATGGGCGCCTATCTCTATGGGCGCCTATCTCTAGGGGCGCCTATCTCTAGGGGCGCCTATATCTATGGGCGCCTATCTCTGTGGGCGCCTATCTCTATGGGCGCCTATCTCTATGGGCGCCTATCTCTAGGGGCGCCTATCTCTACGGGCGCCTATCTCTAGGGGCGCCTATCTCTAGGGGCGCCTATCTCTATGGGCGCCTATCTCTATGGGCGCCTATCTCTAGGGGCGCCTATCTCTACGGGCGTCTATCTCTAGGGGCGCCTATCTCTACGGGCGCCTATCTCTATGGGCGCCTATCTCTATGGGCGCCTCTCTCTAGGGACGCCTATCTCTATGGGCGCCTATCTCTAGGGGCGCCTCTCTCTAGGGGCGCCTATCTCTATGGGCGCCTATCTCTATGGGCGCCTCTCTCTAGGGGCGCCTATCTCTATGGGCGCCTATCTCTATGGGCGCCTATCTCTATGGGCGCCTATCTCTAGGGGCGCCTATCTCTATGGGCGCCTATCTCTAGAGGCGCCTATCTCTATGGGCGCCTATCTCTATGGGCGCCTATATCTATGGGCGCCTATCTCTAGGGGCGCCTATCTCTAGGGGCGCCTATCTCTAGGGGCGCCTATCTCTAGGAGCGCCTTTCTCTATGGCGCCTATCTCTATGGCCGCCTATCTCTATGGGCGCCTATCTCTATGGGCGCCTATCTCTATGGGCGCCTATCTCTATGGGCGCCTATCTCTAGGGGCGCCTATCTCTATGGGCGCCTATCTCTATGGGCGCCTATCTCTAGGGGCGCCTATCTCTTTGGGCGCCTATCTCTAGAGGCGCCTATCTCTATGGGCGCCTATCTCTATGGCCGCCTATCTCTAGGGGCGCCTATCTCTAGGGGCGCCTATCTCTATGGGCGCCTATCTCTATGGGCGCCTATCTCTAGGGGCGCCTATCTCTAGGGGCGCCTATCTCTAGGGGCGCCTATCTCTATGGGCGCCTATCTCTAGGGGCGCCTATCTCTATGGGCGCCTATCTCTAGGGGCGCCTATCTCTAGGGGCGCCTATCTCTATGGCCGCCTATCTCTATGGGCGCCTATCTCTATGGGCGCCTATCTCTAGGGGTGCCTATCTCTAGGGGCGCCTATCTCTACAGGCGCCTATCTCTAGGGGCGCCTATCTCTATGGGCGCCTATCTCTATGGGCGCCTATCTCTAGGGGCGCCTATCTCTAGGGCCGCCTATCTCTATGGGCGCCTATCTCTATGGGCGCCTATCTCTATGGGCGCCTATCTCTAGGGGCGCCTTTCTCTATGGGCGCCTATCTCTATAGGCGCCTATCTCTATGGGCGCCTCTCTCTAGGGGCGCCTATCTCTATGGGCGCCTATCTCTAGGGGCGCCTATCTCTATGGGCGCCTATCTCTAGGGGCGCCTATCTCTATGGGCGCCTATCTCTAGAGGCGCCTATCTCTATGGGCGCCTATCTCTATGGGCGCCTATATCTATGGGCGCCTATCTCTAGGGGCGCCTATCTCTAGGGGCGCCTATCTCTAGGGGCGCCTATCTCTAGGAGCGCCTTTCTCTATGGCGCCTATCTCTATGGCCGCCTATCTCTATGGGCGCCTATCTCTATGGGCGCCTATCTCTATGGGCGCCTATCTCTAGGGGCGCCTATCTCTAGGGGCGCCTATCTCTATGGGCGCCTATCTCTATGGGCGCCTATCTCTAGGGGCGCCTATCTCTTTGGGCGCCTATCTCTAGAGGCGCCTATCTCTATGGGCGCCTATCTCTATGGCCGCCTATCTCTAGGGGCGCCTATCTCTAGGGGCGCCTATCTCTATGGGCGCCTATCTCTATGGGCGCCTATCTCTAGGGGCGCCTATCTCTAGGGGCGCCTATCTCTAGGGGCGCCTATCTCTATGGGCGCCTATCTCTAGGGGCGCCTATCTCTATGGGCGCCTATCTCTAGGGGCGCCTATCTCTAGGGGCGCCTATCTCTATGGCCGCCTATCTCTATGGGCACCTATCTCTATGGGCGCCTATCTCTAGGGGTGCCTATCTCTAGGGGCGCCTATCTCTACAGGCGCCTATCTCTAGGGGCGCCTTTCTCTATGGGCGCCTATCTCTATGGGCGCCTATCTCTAGGGGCGCCTATCTCTAGGGCCGCCTATCTCTATGGGCGCCTATCTCTATGGGCGCCTATCTCTATGGGCGCCTATCTCTAGGGGCGCCTTTCTCTATGGGCGCCTATCTCTATGGGCGCCTATCTCTATGGGCGCCTATCTCTAGGTGAGCCTATCTCTAGGGGCGCCTATCTCTAGGACCGTCTTTCTCTAGGCGCCTATCTCTAGGGGCGCCTATCTCTAGGGGCGCCTATCTCTAGGGGCGCCTATCTCTATGGGCGCCTATCTCTATGGGCGCCTATCTCTTGGGGCGCCTATCTCTATGGGCGCCTATCTCTAGGGGCGCCTATCTCTAGGGGCGCCTATCTCTATGGGCGCCTTTCTCTATGGCCGCCTATCTCTAGGGGCGCATATCTCTAGGGGCGCCTATCTCTAGGGGCGCCTATCTCTAGGGGCGCCGCCTTGAGATAGGCGACTCTAGAGATAGGCGCCTATCTCTATGGGCGCCTATCTCTATGGGCGCCTATCTCTAGGGGCGCCTATCTCTATGGGCGCCTATCTCTAGGGGCGCCTATCTCTAGGGGCGCCTATCTCTATGGGCGCCTATTTCTATGGGCGCCTATCTCTATGGGCGCCTATCTCTATGGGCGCCTATCTCTAGGGGCGCCTATCTCTAGGGGCGCCTATCTCTATGGGCGCCTATCTCTAGGGGCGCCTATCTCTATGGGCGCCTATCTCTAGGGGCGCCTATCTCTATGGCCGCCTATCTCTAGGGGCGCCTATCTCTATGGGCGCCTATCTCTATGGGCGCCTATCTCTATGGGCGCCTATCTCTAGTGGCGCCTATCTCTAGGGGCGCCTATCTCTATGGGCGCCTATCTCTAGGGGCGCCTATCTCTAGGGGCGCCTATCTCTAGGAGCGCCTATCTCTAGGGGCGCATATCTCTATGGGCGCCAATCTCTAGGGGCACCTATCTCTATGGGCGCCCATCTCTATGAGCGCCTATCTCTATGGGCGCCTATCTCTAGGGGCGCCTATCTCTATGGGCGCCCACTCTATGGGCGCCTATCTCTATGGGCGCCTCGCGCCTATCTATAAAGGCGCCTATCTCTATGGGCGCCCATCTCTAGGGGCGCCTATCTCTGAGGGCGCCTATCTCTAGGGGCGCCTATCTCTAGGGGTGCTTGTCTCTAGGGGCGCCTATCTCTAGGGGCGCCTATCTCTAGGGGCGCCTCTCTCTATGGGCGCCTATCTCTAGGGGCGCATATCTCTATGCGCGCCTATCTCTAGGGGCGCCTATATCTAGGGGCGCCTATCTCTAGGGGCACGTATCTCTAGGGCCGTCTATCCCGAGGGGCGCCTATCTCTAGGGGCACCTATCTCTAGGGGTGCCTATCTTTAGGGGCGCCTATCTCTAGGGGCGCATATCTCTATGGGCGCCAATCTCTAGGGGCACCTATCTCTATGGGCGCCTATCTTTATGGGCGCATATCTCTATGGGCGCCAATCTCTAGGGGCACCTATCTCTATGGGCGCCTATCTCTATGGGCGCCTATCTCTATGGGCGCCTATCTCTATGGGCGCCTATCTATTTGGGCGCCTTTCTCTATGGGCGCCTATCTCTATGGGCGCCTCTCTCTATGGGCGCCTATCTCTAGGGGCGCCTATCTCTAGGGGCGACTATCTCTAGGGGCGCCTATCTCTAGGGGCGCCTATCTCTAGGGGCGCCTATCTCTAGGGGTGCCTATCTCTAGGGGCGCCTATCTCTATGGCCGCCTATCTCTATGGGCGCCTATCTCTAGGGGCGCCTATCTCTAGGGGCGCCTATCTCTAGGGGCGCCTATCTCTAGGGGCGCCTATCTCTAGGGGCACCTATCTCTAGGGGCGCCTATCTCTATGGGCGCCTATCTCTAGGGGCGCCTATCTCTATGGGCGCCTATCTCTATGGGCGCCTATCTCTAGGGGCGCCTATCTCTAGGGGCGCCTATATCTATGGGCGCCTATCTCTAGGGGCGCCTATATCTATGGGCGCCTATCTCTAGGGGCGCCTATCTCTATGGGCGCCTATCTCTATGGGCGCCTATCTCTAGGGGCGCCTATCTCTATGGGCGCCTATCTCTAGGGGCGCCTATGTCTATGGGCGCCTATCTCTATGGGCGCCTATCTCTATGGGCGCCTATCTCTAGGGGCGCCTATCTCTATGGGCGCCTATCTCTATGGGCGCCTATCTCTAGGAGCGCCTTTCTCTAGGGGCGCCTATCTCTATGGGCGCCTATCTCTAGGGGCGCCTATCTCTATGGCCGCCTATCTCTATGGGCGCCTATCTCTAGGGGCGCCTATCTCTAGGGGCGCCTATCTCTATGGGCGCCTATCTCTATGGGCGCCTATCTCTATGGGCGCCTATCTCTATGGGCGCCTATCTTTAGGGGCGCCTATCTCTATGGGCGCCTATCTCTATGGGCGCCTATCTCTAGGGGCGCCTATCTCTAGGGGCGCCTATCTCTATGGGCGCCTATCTGTATGGGCGCCTATCTCAAGGGGCGCCTATCTCTAGGGGCGCCTATCTCTATGGGCGCCTATCTCTAGGGGCGCCTATCTCTATGGGCGCCTATCTCTAGAGGCGCCTATCTCTATGGGCGCCTATCTCTATGGGCGCCTATATCTATGGGCGCCTATCTCTAGGGGCGCCTATCTCTAGGGGCGCCTATCTCTAGGGGCGCCTATCTCTAGGAGCGCCTTTCTCTATGGCGCCTATCTCTATGGCCGCCTATCTCTATGGGCGCCTATCTCTATGGGCGCCTATCTCTATGGGCGCCTATCTCTAGGGGCGCCTATCTCTGGGGGCGCCTATCTCTATGGGCGCCTATCTCTATGGGCGCCTATCTCTAGGGGCGCCTTTCTCTTTGGGCGCCTATCTCTAGAGGCGCCTATCTCTATGGGCGCCTATCTCTATGGCCGCCTATCTCTATGGGCGCCTATCTCTATGGGCGCCTATCTCTATGGGCGCCTATCTCTATGGGCGCCTATCTCTATGGGCGCCTATCTCTATGGGCGCCTATCTCTAGGGCCCTTGTTCTTCCAATTTTGCACACGCTTGGCCCTTGTTCTTCCAATTTTGCACACGCTAGGCCCTTGTTCTTCCAATTTTGCACACGCTGGGCCCTTGTTCTTCCAATTTTGCACACGCTAGGCCCTTGTTCTTCCAATTTTGCACACGCTAGGCCCTTGTTCTTCCAATTTTGCACACGCTAGGCCCTTGTTCTTCCAATTTTGCACATGCTAGGCCCTTGTTCTTCCAATTTTGCACACGCTAGGCCCTTGTTCTTCCAATTTTGCACACGCTAGGCCCTTGTTCTTCCAATTTTGCACACGCTAGGCCCTTGTTCTTCCAATTTTGCACACGCTAGGCCCTTGTTCTTCCAATTTTGCACACGCTAGGCCCTTGTTCTTCCAATTTTGCACACGCTAGGCCCTTGTTCTTGCAATTTTGCACAGGCTAGGCCCTTGTTCTTCCAATTTTGCACACGCTAGGCCCTTGTTCTTCCAATTTTTCACACGCTAGGCCCTTGTTCTTCCAATTTTGCACACGCTAGGCCCTTGTTCTTGCAATTTTGCACACGCTAGGCCCTTGTTCTTCCAATTTTGCACACGCTAGGCCTTTGTTCTTCCAATTTTGCACACACTAGGCCCTTGTTCTTGCAATTTTGCACACGTTAGGCCCTTGTTCTTCCAATTTTGCACACGCTAGGCCTTTGTTCTTCCAATTTTGCACACGCTAGGCCCTTGTTCTTCCAATTTTGCACACGCTGGGCCCTTGTTCTTCCAATTTTGCACACGCTAGGCCCTTGTTCTTCCAATTTTGCACACGCTAGGCCCTTGTTCTTCCAATTTTGCACACACTAGGCCTTTGTTCTTGCAATTTGGCACACGCTAGGCCCTTGTTCTTCCAATTTTGCACACACTAGGCCCTTGTTCTTGCAATTTTGCACACGCCAGGCCCTTGTTCTTCCAATTTTGCACACGCTAGGCCCTTGTTCTTCTAATTTGGCACATGCTAGGCCCTTGTTCTTCCAATTTTGCACATGATAGGCCCTTGTTCTTCCAATTTTGCACACGCTAGGCACTTGTTCTTCCAATTTTGCACACACGAGGCCTTTGTTCTTGCAATTTGGCACACGCTAGGCCCTTGTTCTTCCAATTTTGCACACACTAGGCCTTTGTTCTTGCAATTTGGCACACGCTAGGCCCTTGTTCTTCCAATTTTGCACACGCTAGGCCCTTGTTGTTCCAATTTTGCACACGCTGGGCCCTTGTTCTTCCAATTTTGCACACGCTAGGCCCTTGTTCTTCCAATTTTGCACACGCTAGGCCCTTGTTCTTCCAATTTTGCACACGCTAGGCCCTTGTTGTTCCAATTTTGCACACACTAGGCCCTTGTTCTTCCAATTTTGCACACGCTAGGCCCTTGTTCTTGCAATTTTGCACACGCTAGGCCCTTGTTCTTCCAATTTTGCACACGCTAGGCCCTTGTTCTTCCAATTTTGCACACGCTAGGCCCTTGTTCTTCCAATTTTGCACATGCTAGGTTCTTCCAATTTTGCTCACACTAGGCCTTTGTTCTTTCAATTTGGCACACGCTAGGCCCTTGTTCTTCCAATTTTGCACACACTAGGCCTTTGTTCTTGCAATTTGGCACACGCTAGGCCCTTGTTCTTCCAATTTTGCACACGCTAGGCCCTTGTTCTTCCAATTTTGCACACGCTAGGCCCTTGTTCTTCCAATTTTGCACATGCTAGGCCCTTGTTCTTCCAATTTTGCACACACTAGGCCTTTGTTCTTGCAATTTGGCACACGCTAGGCCCTTGTTCATCCAATTTTGCACACGCTGGGCCCTTGTTCTTCCAATTTTGCACACGCTAGGCCCTTGTTCTTCCAATTTTGCACACGCTAGGCCCTTGTTCTTCCAATGTTGCACACGCTAGGCCCTTGTTCTTCCAATTTTGCACACGCTAGGCCCTTGTTCTTCCAATTTTGCATACGCTAGGCCCTTGTTCTTCCAATTTTGCACACGCTAGGCCCTTGTTCTTCCAATTTTGCACATACTAGGCCTTTCTTCTTGCAATTTGGCACACGCTAGGCCCTTGTTCTTCCAATTTTGCACATGCTAGGCACTTGTTCTTCCAATTTTGCACACACTAGGCCTTTGTTCTTGCAATTTGGCACACACTAGGCCCTTGTTCTTCCAATTTTGCACACACTAGGCCCTTGTTCTTGCAATTTTGCACACGCTAGGCCCTTGTTCTTCCAATTTTGCACACGCTAGGCCCTTGTTCTTCCAATTTTGCACACGCTAGGCCCTTGTTCTTCCAATTTTGCACACGCTGGGCCCTTGTTCTTCCAATTTTGCACACGCTAGGCCCTTGTTCTTCCAATTTTGCACACGCTAGGCCCTTGTTCTTCCAATTTTGCACACGCTAGGCCCTTGTTCTTCCAATTTTGCACACGCTTGGCCCTTGTTCTTCCAATTTTGCACACACTAGGCCTTTGTTCTTGCAATTTGGCACACGCTAGGCCCTTGTTCTTCCAATTTTGCACACACTAGGCCCTTGTTCTTGCAATTTTGCACACGCTAGGCCCTTGTTCTTCCAATTTTGCACACGCTAGGCCCTTGTTCTTCCAATTTTGCACAAGCTAGGCCCTTGTTCTTCCAATTTGGCACACGCTAGGCCCTTGTTCTTCGAATTTGGCACACGCTAGGCCCTTGTTCTTCCAATTTTGCACACGCTAGGCCCTTGTTCTTCCAATTTTGCACACGCTGGGCCCTTGTTCTTCCAATTTTACACACGCTAGGCCCTTGTTCTTCCAATTTTGCACACGCTAGGCCCTTGTTCTTCCAATTTTGCACACGCTAGGCCCTTGTTCTTCCAATTTTGCACACGCTATGCCCTTGTTCTTCCAATTTTGCACACGCTAGGCCCTTGTTCTTCCAATTTTGCACACGCTAGGCCCTTGTTCTTCCAATTTTGCACACGCTAGGCCCTTGTTCTTGCAATTTTGCACACGCTAGGCCCTTGTTCTTCCAATTTTGCACACACTAGGCCTTTGTTCTTGCAATTTGGCACACGCTAGGCCCTTGTTCTTCCAATTTTGCACACGCTAGGCCCTTGTTCTTGCAATTTTGCACACGCTAGGCCCTTGTTCTTCCAATTTTGCACACGCTAGGCCTTTGTTCTTCCAATTTTGCACACACTAGGCCCTTGTTCTTGCAATTTTGCACACGTTAGGCCCTTGTTCTTCCAATTTTGCACACGCTAGGCCTTTGTTCTTCCAATTTTGCACACGCTAGGCCCTTGTTCTTCCAATTTTGCACACGCTGGGCCCTTGTTCTTCCAATTTTGCACACGCTAGGCCCTTGTTCTTCCAATTTTGCACACGCTAGGCCCTTGTTCTTCCAATTTTGCACACACTAGGCCTTTGTTCTTGCAATTTGGCACACGCTAGGCCCTTGTTCTTCCAATTTTGCACACACTAGGCCCTTGTTCTTGCAATTTTGCACACGCCAGGCCCTTGTTCTTCCAATTTTGCACACGCTAGGCCCTTGTTCTTCTTATTTGGCACATGCTAGGCCCTTGTTCTTGCAATTTTGCACATGATAGGCCCTTGTTCTTCCAATTTTGCACACGCTAGGCACTTGTTCTTCCAATTTTGCACACACCAGGCCTTTGTTCTTGCAATTTGGCACACGCTAGGCCCTTGTTCTTCCAATTTTGCACACACTAGGCCTTTGTTCTTGCAATTTGGCACACGCTAGGCCCTTGTTCTTCCAATTTTGCACACGCTAGGCCCTTGTTGTTCCAATTTTGCACACGCTGGGCCCTTGTTCTTCCAATTTTGCACACGCTATGCCCTTGTTCTTCCAATTTTGCACACGCTAGGCCCTTGTTCTTCCAATTTTGCACACACTAGGCCCTTGTTCTTGCAATTTTGCACACGCTAGGCCCTTGTTCTTCCAATTTTGCACACGCTAGGCCCTTGTTCTTCCAATTTTGCACACGCTATGCCCTTGTTCTTCCAATTTTGCACACGCTAGGCCCTTGTTCTTCCAATTTTGCACACGCTAGGCCCTTGTTCTTCCAATTTTGCACACGCTAGGCCCTTGTTCTTGCAATTTTGCACACGCTAGGCCCTTGTTCTTCCAATTTTGCACACACTAGGCCTTTGTTCTTGCAATTTGGCACACGCTAGGCCCTTGTTCTTCCAATTTTGCACACGCTAGGCCCTTGTTCTTGCAATTTTGCACACGCTAGGCCCTTGTTCTTCCAATTTTGCACACGCTAGGCCTTTTTTCTTCCAATTTTGCACACACTAGGCCCTTGTTCTTGCAATTTTGCACACGTTAGGCCCTTGTTCTTCCAATTTTGCACACGCTAGGCCTTTGTTCTTCCAATTTTGCACACGCTAGGCCCTTGTTCTTCCAATTTTGCACACGCTGGGCCCTTGTTCTTCCAATTTTGCACACGCTAGGCCCTTGTTCTTCCAATTTTGCACACGCTAGGCCCTTGTTCTTCCAATTTTGCACACACTAGGCCTTTGTTCTTGCAATTTGGCACACGCTAGGCCCTTGTTCTTCCAATTTTGCACACACTAGGCCCTTGTTCTTGCAATTTTGCACACGCCAGGCCCTTGTTCTTCCAATTTTGCACACGCTAGGCCCTTGTTCTTCTTATTTGGCACATGCTAGGCCCTTGTTCTTGCAATTTTGCACATGATAGGCCCTTGTTCTTCCAATTTTGCACACGCTAGGCACTTGTTCTTCCAATTTTGCACACACCAGGCCTTTGTTCTTGCAATTTGGCACACGCTAGGCCCTTGTTCTTCCAATTTTGCACACACTAGGCCTTTGTTCTTGCAATTTGGCACACGCTAGGCCCTTGTTCTTCCAATTTTGCACACGCTAGGCCCTTGTTGTTCCAATTTTGCACACGCTGGGCCCTTGTTCTTCCAATTTTGCACACGCTATGCCCTTGTTCTTCCAATTTTGCACACGCTAGGCCCTTGTTCTTCCAATTTTGCACACACTAGGCCCTTGTTCTTGCAATTTTGCACACGCTAGGCCCTTGTTCTTCCAATTTTGCACACGCTAGGCCCTTGTTCTTCCAATTTTGCACACGCTAGGCCCTTGTTGTTCCA